GATGTTCATAGTCATTCATCTACGAGTTGCTCAGAGTACACGTCTTCATTACCCGCCCTGCGTCTCCGAGTGATAGATCATGCCAACACCCCACGTCGAGTACATGAAAGACTCGTCAATACCGCGCACATGTCCGAACATCATATTGCATTCTTGACATATCGCTGGCAGGGTACGACAAAGGCTGCCACTATCTCCCAGCCTCACTCCACTCTCGTCCAATCAGTCCAAAGCGTGCAGCTTATTGGCCTCGTAAGCCACATCCGGCTGCAATGGAAACACCGTAGACAACTGCTCGCGATACATGTATATCACGAAAATCATCGTGCTCTATGACACCACGTCACGTCAGCCACATCCACATGCAGCAGAGCGGGTGCGTACTCAAGCATTAGCCTCCATCGCTTCTACATCCCACACCTTCACAAGGTTGTCGTCGCCGCCAGAAACGACACGTTTGCCATCGGGCATGAACGCGACAGACAGGACTCCTACATGCGCCTGCCACGGCCCCACCACAGTCCTTCTCGTCTGCGCATCCCATATCCGGATCGTACCATCATACGAGCCAGAGACGATGCGGCTCCCGGTGGCATCCGGCGAGAATGCTACAGAGGTAACCGGAGCGGTGTGCCCTCGCAAGGGACCCAAAACCGTCTCACCCGTCTGCGCGTCCCAGACTCGGATTGTACTGTTGTATGAACCCGAGACGATGCGTCTGCCATCGGGTGAGTATGCAACTGCCATAACCGAGCCATCGTGAACTTCCAGCGGCTCTCGGATGGTCCTGTGCGTCTCCGCGTCCCAAATGCGGACCCTTACCGATCGGAGACGATGTGCTTGCTGTCGAGTGAGAAGGCGACGGAGTTCACCCCAGAGTCGACGGTGCATTCGCCGATGGACTGCCTTGTGTTCATGTCCCAGATTTTGAGTATGCCGTCTTGGCAACCCGAGACGATGCGCTCGCCATTGGGGGAGAATGCCACGGACCACACCGAATCCGAATGGCCGAGTAACGGCTGCCCCTCCTGTTGCCCGGTCTCAGAGTCCCATAGGCGAATGGAACGGTCGCGTGAGCCCGAAGCTAGGAGTTTTCCGTGGGGGGAGAATGCGACGGAGAACACTACATCCGTGTGGCCCATGAGTGGACCGACCATCGCTTCGCCCGTAACTGCATTCCAGATCCGAATCGTCTTGTCCCAGGAACCCGAGGCAATCCGCGAACCATCAGCGGAGACCGCAACCGAAGACACGCTGCTGTCATGGCCTTGGAGCGGCGGTAACCTCAAGTCTGTTCCTCGCGCGCAGGGTCAGCAATCGGACGCGTAGAAAACCATAATTTCGTACAATTGCAGAATACACGGTTGATCATGGCCACCGCGCGGAGTATTTGCGGATTTCCTGTGTCCGCACCAGCGAGCAGGCGCGAAATCTCAGGTGCTGTGTATTGCGTCGCGTCTGGAGGAAGAGAGCGGAATGCACTAAGAGCAAGAATCACGTCCGCGATGCGCTGCCGCTCTTCTTTCAAGTAAGTCTCGCCCTCGGGCCGTGAAGTCCTCAAGGCGCCGAATAGGTCGCTTGCCGCATTAGGGGTATCGATGATCGATTGTCTTCCATTTTCTATGATGGATGAAGATGATGGTTTCAACGCTTGCCCGGCTCACAGTTTGTGACACTCGCCTGAGGACGCTAGCGTGAAAAGAACATTACGTTGTGCTTCAGACAAGTTTCCCATCTTGAGCGTGTTCACGAGCGATACTGCACTTTGAAATATATCGCTCTCTAGCGCACTGGGCTTTCTCTTCTTGAGGGACGACGGTTCCCATTCCCAACCCTTTGGCAGGATAGCCATGGGGCGGTAAGGTTTGTTGTCAGTCCATTTATCGAGCTGGGAGAATACAGATTCGTGAATCATCTGGCCGTGCATAACTTGGCGCGCGGCACAGAGGTGAGGAGGCCTAATGAGCACATGATGCAAGATAAAGAATGTTCAATACTGCGGGATATCGTAAACTTACCAGCGTCGGGTGTGCTCGTTATCCTTGGTGGGATCATACGAAAGTCTACGAAGTGGCATGCCTTCGAGTAGTCTCCAAAACCAGTTCATCGAGTGATGAGGAGAGAAATTTTGCCATTTCCCTATGAATGGCTCCATCCGAACGCCAGACAGAAGAGCTTCGTAGGTCATCCATTGCAAAGCAGGCCCAAAGCGGTCCAGTTTCGTGTTTTCATCGTTACCTCCACCGCTTCGCATCGGGTTCAGCCTGTTAACCTGCCACATAGGATTGCGAAAAACGTACATATCAGAATGAGATCCTGCAAACCAGACTTCCTTGACGTCGCCTTGGCGCTTGTCCCTAGCGGACGGATCCGAACGACCCTTCTCGGCACTTCTATCGAGGCCGGCACTGGTAGATGGTGTATCTTGCCTGTTTGACTCAGGCTCTGTGCGTGGCCCGTGACCTCCGTTGGCATATTCGGGCAAGAATTTTACCCGGAGCTCGTCCAGAGCAAGAGCGTGACGGAAGATGCACACGTGCGTCATGCCGGTCGTGGTCTCTGGAAGACCGGGTCCACGGGCAAAGCCGATCGACGAAACCGTGTCCCTGTATGGAGTAACTCATCTGAGCAAAGTGCAGAAAAAATGTAGCTCACCAGGCTCCGACAAAATGAACATTGACGTTACGTTGGGAGAGCGCCTTTTTGAAGCGTTCGCTGAGCTCCAAGGCCTCCTCGACGTGTTTAGGGCTCCGTTTGAACCACAGGAAAGGTTTTGGTAGCGGTGACGACTTGTCAGCCACCTGCGGCGAATCTTGTTGACCGGACTCCGACGCGACGTTCTCGTCCTCCTTCTTCGCTCCAGGCTTGGCAATGTCCACTTTCCGTCCTTGACCGGCCGTAGTCGCAATGTAAAGTTCGTATGCGCTACGAACATCTAAGTGAATCCCGCCAAGAAACTAGCACCGGCCGTGGGTTATTTGACGTACAATTCTATTTGTTCATTGTTTCCTTTGTGAAGGAGGCCGACCTACGAGCATATTAGGTTATGTCTCTTCAACGTCCCTCCATAATGAATATTTACCGTCATGATCATGCCCGCAATAACGCGAATCTGATAAGCACCGCGCGAGAACCCTTATGACGAATGATGAGGACAGAACGTATAGCCGTCACGTAAGTCTGTGTGCTTCACCGAATAGATAGATCTTGTCCCCGGGCTTGTAGTTCTCGGAAAGCCATTGATACGCGCTCAGAACAATCTTTTTGAAGTTCCTGGAGTACCGAAGGTCTCGTCACAGGGTAGATACAACGGATATCAAATGCATAACTTACCAGGCGATCGCCAGATCCACCTTGTTAGTGAAGCCCTGCTTCCAATACGATGGATACCACTTCGACTCCTTCACGTATGTGCCTATGCCACTGTTGTAGTAAGTGAGCTGATTCTCGTCTTTGATGAGACGGCTGTATAGTTCGACGACATGAGAGTTCTATGGTTCGCGTCAGCACGGTTGACAGAAATGCCACGATGTTCAACGTGTCCAACCGTACCTTCTTGCCGAACTGATTAGCCGTGCCATCGATGCACACCACGAGGTTTCTCCCGGTAGCAGGGGTTGAACACTGGCACGGCCGATTCGAGGATTGATTGGCGGAGGGGAGGCCGTCCGCAACTGGACGTGTCTTGTCGACAGGTGCGGAAGGCAAATCTTCGGCGCCTATTGGAATGACTTCAATCTCGGGTGAGCGATCTGCGGTACGGGGTCCATAGGCGCCTAGCGGCTGCGATAGACCAGGGTCGGAATCAGACATGATGGTCAGGCGAAGTCTGTGCAGCGAGAGGGCGTTGACGACAGAGGAGGGCGAAGGGGCAAGCCGTGAGTGCACTCGCGTCGGTGGGTATATAATGAGCGCTGTTACAGCGTTCTCGACACGCGCTGTTCATGCCATCTGTAGGTCGATATGAGTGGAATCATCACGAGGAGACAGCGAGGCGTCGTTGGGGGTTTACGCGGCGGTCGGCGGCGGTCGGCGTGCGCATCGGTTGAAGCTATCTGAATTGGACATAGCGTCTCATGGCGGTAGCGTGTATACTACGCCGATATGGACGGGCAAATTTGGCCTCATATAGTTTAATACCGTGACCTAGGCAGTGCTCGAAGCGCGACATGAGGTTAGAGGCGTAATCATGGGCTCACCAGAAGGCATGTCAAGCAGGTCTACGCATGCATTCGGGCCTTCTCTGAGGCATATGATGAACAATAAACACGATAAACGCTCTTCCTGGGCGTGAAGAGAATGCGAAAGCTCTTTCACTCCACGCCCATGCCGCATGTCGAGGCAGGTTCGAGTGACTACCGACAAGTGATTGAACTCAGATAAGAATCCGAAGTGCGGCGCAACGGTGGGACGGCTACTAGTTTGTAGGTATGTATAAGGACGTGACCCCCAGTAGTAGCTAGGACACGGACCTGTTGAATGCACGAGCAAGTGCGACAAGGCCATCCTTTCATCTACGCGACACGGCAAGTTCCAAGTCTGGCTCGATGATAGTATGGGCTCGCACATGCTTGATTAGGAATCCGTAAGTTGGCTAGCGTTGAGGAGGCATGGATCGTGAGCCGAATGTTCCTTGATCAGTCAGCAGACACGGGTAAGCAGACGACAAAGTGACGAAGAACTCCATGCCCGATTTGCAGCATGGCAATCGCGAAACAGAACCATGGGAGAATGCTGAGATACATCCTATGTTCGTGGAATCCACTGCAGCGTTACATACATGTTTGCATGCGATGATCGACAGAAATACATACAACGACCCCAGTGGGGCATGTCGGTCAGGGACTTCGGCGATGGTTGAAACACCACCCTGTTGGACGCAGGCGCTTGATCCTCAATATATCGCATGCCACATGTTTGCAGTACGAGGGAGAACAAATCGCCAGTCATCAGACCTTGACCGCCTTGCTCTTCCCAATCTTGATCCCAAGCGATTTCTTCGCGTCCATCTTCTTCTTCTTCGCGGCGTGCAGTTCCGACACTTTGCTCGAGATGAGCTCCTTTGCAGAATCGGGAAGAAGAGCGTGAAGGTCCGGTTCGGCACCGTCCGCTTTGCGCTTGACGGTGAGCTGCCGTACTTGAGGCTGCGAAGCGGACGAGGAAGCGACGGGCGGTGTCGTGGACGGTGACGCCTCCGAGTCCGGACTTGAAGATGACTGAGCTGCCGCAGCCAGAGTTGAAGGCCCGGGACCGGCAACAGGCGCGCTGGACGAGCCCGGCAACGCTACCTTGGAGAACACCTGCCGCACGAGCTTCTCATCTTCCTCCTCCTCTTCTCTCCGTTTCCTCTCCTCCTCCGTCTCCACCTCACCCTTCCGTATCCGCGCCACCATGTCGACCTCCATCCCCGGGCCACCCTCGACGAGATCCTTGTTCGCGCGCCGCTCGTTCCGGGCGTTACGCGCGCGGATGTCCTGCAGAGCATCGAGGATGTCCATCTCGCGCTTGGAGTCAACCGTCCGGTTCTCGAGCGCCTTCATCGGGTTGTTCTCCTCCTCCTCCAGCTTAGCCAGCCGGTCGATCTCCTCCTTCTCGCCCTCCTCTCGCCACGGCTCGAAGTTGCGGGAGGCACCGTGCTCGGCGGCGTAGTCGGTGTTCTTCGGATCGGTCTTGAACGTGATCTCAGCCGAACATAATGTACTGGGTTGCAGTGAGACGGTCAGTCGGACGACGCAGCGTCAGGCTCTGGGGAAACGCACCATTTAATGTAGAACCGGAAGATCTTGATGCCATAGTAGTCCTCACCCTCGACCGTCTCCTTGCGAGCGTTGAACTTTTTGCCCTTGTAAATATACTCCCCACAAGTGTTGCAGCGCATAGAGAAGGGCGCCATGAGACGAACGACCTGCTGCTTGTTCTTCACGCCCTTGCGGCGGGGGATGAGGGACGGGTCGAAGTCCGGCGGGAAATATTTGTTGAGGACTTTGCGTTCAGCCATGTTGGATCAAGACGAAAATTCGGAAGAGAAGTCAGAGGGCGAGGAGGTCAGGAATGGGGATGGTCAACGAAGGAGGCTGAGTGACCGTCTGCGACGATCGACTCAAGTGCGCCACCGTTTGCTCGGGTTAGGGTTACAGTGCCGATTCCGGCAATCCGAAGTCGCGGCTCGGGCTCGCTTGTCTCTGCACGCCATGTCTTTGCAGTTCTGGAAACCTGGGACCGTCGGGCCCGGCAGCTCGCTCGACCGGGCGACGGAAACGGAAGAGAATGTAATCCAGTCTGCCCCCTTGTCCGGCGCCTACTCCATCCAGGCTCAGAGGGAGAGGTTGCCCATCTTCAAGCACCGTTAGTCCCAGCGTCCATCGTGCCTAGTCGTTCATATTCAGACTCGTGGCATGTGCAGGCGAGAAACTTCTGTACTGCGTAGAGACCTTTGGCGTCACGATTGTTGTCGGTCAAACGGGTTGTGGCAAGACCACTCGTGAGCATGGAAACGCGGAGGAATAGTACTCCTCACTGAACACGGCTCTAGAGCTTCCTCAGTACCTATACGAAGCCGGGTGGGCCGCGGATGGTAATGTCATAGCTTGCACACAACCTCGTCGCGTCGCGGCAACCTCGGTGGCATCGCGCGTTGCGTCTGAAGTCGGCTCTATGTTAGGAGACGAAGTATGTTCCTGCCGTCGCAAATCCGAATACAAGAGAACTCATTCAACTGTTTTCCAGGTTGGATACACCATTCGGTTTGAGGATGTCTCGTCCAAGGAACGCACGCGCATTAAGTACATGACCGACGGGATGCTCTTCCGCGAAACGCTCGTAGACCCACTTCTGAGCAAGTATAGCGTGATCATGGTGCGTTTTGACATGCATGAGATGTATACCAGACATTTACTTGACGCGAAGGACTAAAGATCGACGAAGCGCACGAACGAAGCATATACACCGATCTGCTACTGGGGATCCTCAAGAAGTGCGTTCATTTTCGTTTCGCCCTTTCCTGCCGTTTTCATGTTGATGGAAAAACAACTCCAGGATTCGACGAAAGCGGCCAGGGCTGCGTCTGATCGTGTCTTCCGCGACTCTCGATGCGTCGTCATTCCTCGACTACTTTACGGCGAATACCGTCAACAAAGGTGGGTTCTATCGCGTTACCATGTTCACCTCGTGCTTACGCGTAGTAGACAAGGAAGCAACCATTATATCATTGGAGGGACGCATGTACCCCGTGGAAGTAGCCTACCTGCAGGAACCGACACCGGACTATGTACGCAAGGCGGCGGAAGTTGCTTGGGAGATCAATTTACAGGTAGGTGGTTATGACCTGCCGGTATGTACAATTATCTGATTGATGGTTTGACAGCAAAGTCCTGGCGACGTCCTCATATTTTTGACCGGACGCGAAGAGATCGAACGATGCTTGGAGGAGTTTTCGGAGATGCTGCCGACGTGCGTTATTCCTGCACTGTGCCATGAATAGTACGCTGAGATCAACGAGCAGGTTACCTCGGCATGCCCCGAAGCTAGTGCCGCTCGCGCTTCACGCAGGACTCACCACGGAGGAACAGTTGCGCGTCTTCGAACCGACGGAGAGAGGAACACGAAAAGTGATCGTTAGTACGAACATCGCTGAGGTAACGTAATTACTCCTGTGCCTGTCTTTCTATCCTCATGTCTCTCTGGGATCTGTAGGCCAGTGTCACGATCGACGGCATCAAGTTCGTCATTGATAGCGGCTTTGTCAAGGTAAGGCCCCTTATTACTAGGTCATGAGCCCTATTGACGTATGATGACCGGTAACCCAGATTCGCACCTACAACCCAACCACCTCCCTGTCTACACTCGCAACCGTCCCGACATCCGTCGCCTCTGCTACTCAACGCGCGGGTCGTGCAGGGCGTACGTCCGCGGGTGTGTGCTACCGCCTCTACACCCAATCTGCCTTTGAGGCCCTCCCACGCACCACCCCGCCCGAGATCACGCGCACGGATCTGACGACACCGATACTCCAATTGAAGAGCCTCGGCATCGACGATTTGATGAAGTTCGAATGGGTGACCGCGCCACCGAGTGAGAGCGTGCTGCGGGCGCTGGAGGGGCTGGTGAACAGTGGGATGATAGGCGAGGACGGACGGTTGACGCCGGTCGGGGCTAAGGTCGCGGAGTGCCCGGTCGAGGTCGGCATCGCGCGAATGGTCTGCATGCTTGCAGTACAGTCGTTTTTCATCTTGCTGATCTCGGTTATGTCAGCTTTTCAATTCGAAGGAGTTCCAGTGCGGAGAAGAAATCTTGACTATCGCAGCCATGACAGCGGTGCAAGACGTGTTCGTGATCCGAGACGGTGCACAAGGGGCGCTAGATGAACTGGAAAGGCGCAAGTTCACGGCAGAAGAGGGGGTACGTATGTTCTGTCCCACTCAGCGAATATGTTGTGCTCATAGCTACGCGTAGGATCACCTCACCCTTTTGAACGGTACGCACCTTATTAGAATGTGGGATTCGATCGCCAACTTACGAATTGCCATATAGCTTACAATGCCTTCATCCGATACGGCAAAGCCTCGTCGTGGTGCAAATCGCACGCTCTCTCCTTCCGCGCCATGTCCCGCGCCGTCTCGATCCGCTCGCAGCTCAAGAAGTACATGCAGCGCTTCGACCTACCGATCAAGAGCTGCGAGGGCGACGCAAAGCGACTCAGGCGATGCTTGGTCAGCGGGTACTGGAGGAACGGCGCGCGGTGGGTCGCGGACGGGACATATCGATCTGTTCGCGGCCATCAGGTATGTGCTCAGCGCATGTCCGTACCTCTGTTGCTCACGACCCGCGCTACAGGTGCTGCATGTACATCCGAACTCCGTCTTGTTCACGCGTAAACCGAGGTCGGGGTGGGTCATATTCCACGAAATGGAGGAGACGAAGAAAACACAGTAAGAGCTCGCAGAGGTCGGGATGACGCATTTGCTGATTGCGCCTAACAGAATCCGCATCCTGACCGAGATAGAGCCTGACTGGTGAGCAGAACCGCGCCTGAATGTGGCCATCTCGCATCTGAAAACTGGATTGCACACAGGTTACTCGACTACGGTCACAAATACTACGACAAGCACAACGGAAGCAGCGTTTCCTAATCAAAGCTCCATTCTCGACGTTAGCGATGAAACAACAGCAAACATGGATGTTAATTCAAGGCGGCAGGGGCGATATTAAAGTACAAAAAAAAGAGTATATATCCGTGACAGCAGCGCGTGTCTACATTTTTATGTGCAATCGTAGCAAGGTCATTGGATCGTATAGCGCATTGTATCTCGCAACAGCGAAATGAACAAATTATTGAGCACTCATGAGCAGTCCTCTAGAACCATTTGCTGGGCTTGAGGCCAATCTTGTCTAGCACGCCCTTGAAGCTCTGGGGCACGAACGCGCCGATGGCGGTCGACCACCCGAGCTTGACCGGCGTTCCCTTGATCTCCAAGCTGGCGAAAGCATCGTCTGAGTAAAGCGACACCAGTCGAAGGACATGTCAGGAACGTACTGGTATGCGGGTCGGCCGTCGGCCACCATCTCGAGCTTCACGACGGGGTGGTCGAGATCCCTGGTGTCGACCTCGATCGCGGACCTGCAGCCCGTTCGTCATGGTCAGCAGTGAATCCACGGGAACGCCAGCCAGAGGAGTCGCTGACCACTTATAGTTGCCCACGGGGATGTACTTTAGCACCACCTCCTTCGGCACGGTCTCCTCCACCGTCTGCACCACCTCCTCCCCTTCCGCCGTCGTATTCATCACCGTCCTGAACCGCTTCACCGTCGCCTCGCTGCGCGGCTTGAGCGTGCGCACGAGCGGGACGTAGAACATGCTCAGCGGGCTCGTGCTGATCTCGAGCACCGGGTGCTGGCCGGGCGCGTCGTGTTCCGGGTTGAACTGGATCGCGCCGAACTCGTGCCGGTCGCCGGAGAGGACGACGATGTTGGGGACGGTGTGGAGGACGGAGAGGAGCGCGGCTTTCTCGGAGGGGAATCCGGCCCAGGAGTCGGTCTGGGCTTCGTACGTCCACAGGGAGGTGAAGGGCACGGAGGAGACGATGAACTTGAACGTCGCCGTGCCGTTGACCTGCGCGCAGTGGTATCGTGAGCCGTCTTTCGACGGCAAGGATTATGGGGGGGGGGGTGAACGTACCTTGGCCAGCCAGTCGTACAGCGCGGTGAGCTGCTCGTCGCCGAGCATGGTGCGCTCCTCGGGCTCGCTGTGCTCCGGGTCGGTCCGGTACGCGCGCGTGTCCATGACGAAGAACGCGACGTCGGCGTAGCGGAAGTCGTAGTAGTTCTTGCCGGGCCCTTTCACGACGGACGAGGTCGAGGCGTCGTAGTTGGCCTGGTGGTTGTAGAGGTCGTACGCGTCCGAGGCGTTCGGGAAGGGCGGCGCGGAAAAGTTGGCCTCGCCCGCGAAATTGTTGATGAACTCGTGGTCGTCGTAGACGTGGAAGATGGCTGGAGTGGAACGTCAACGCCGGGTTGAGGCTGGAGAGGTACTGGAGAGAACGCACGAAGCTGCTCGTAGACCTTGCGGAAGCTAGGCGAGTTGTAGTTGCGCCGGTACAGACGGCGGTAGGCTTCCTTGTCATCGCCGAAGTAAAGCGGTACTAGAAGTCAAGACTTTCAGCATATGGCCGCATCCTGAGGTGATCTTGCCCACCATCGGCATAGATGAAATCGCCAAGGAACAGCATAAACTCTGTAGCCGGTGGAGGGGTTGCAACCGGCGATGATGGAGCAACCGCGGTGCTAGTAGGCTTCTCCGAGCTGACGGTAGAAGCTTGAGTTGTAGACGCCTCGGTTGCAACAGTGCTCGATAAAGACGACGCCGACGTCTTAAGGTCGCTCAGCATCTCGTCGACGATGGCCGATGCCTCCTCCAAGGGATCCGCGACCTCCGCATCCACCTTGGTAGGAGGCGCCGACGTCGCAGGTCGCTTCGGCCACAGATAATCCGCGAGCAGGTCGAAACCCTTGATCGTGCGCCCCTGGAAGGGCATGTAGGGGAAGTTGGGCTTGACGCAGGAGGAGACGACGAAGCGGAAGTGCGAGCCGGCGGGGTAGCGCGGGTCGGGGAAGGTGCGGAACGCGACGGGTAACGGCGGGTAGGCGCGCGCGGTGCCGTTCAGGTGCGCGAGGCGGTACTCGTAGATCGTGGACGGGTACAGGCCGGAGAGGCGCGCGGTGGCGACCCAGTCGTGCTCGGCGGCGAGGCTCACGATCGGCCCGTCTTTCCAGCCCGCGGAGGCGTCGGGCGAGGCGGAGAGGGCGGTGGGGACCTGGCGCCATTGCACGCGGACCTCGTTCAGGCGCTCGTCGACGGCGTCGACGATGTCGGAGGCGGTGTTGTTTCCGGCGGCGGCGGGGAGGGACGCTTTGGGTGCTTTGGGCGGCGGGTAGCGGACGACGATCTTGGCGCCGTCGGGGTATACGGCGCCGACGCGGGTAAAGGTGACGTCATGGGCGGGGTCGAAGTACGGGGCGAAGGTGAGGTCGACGGCGGCGAGGAGGAAGAGGGTGTTGATGGCGAGGTTGAGCAGGCGTTGGCGCTTGACGGGGGTCGGGAGGCCGAGGAGGATGCTACGGATGGAGTCGGGCTCTTTGGGCTGAAAATACGGCAGTCAGCTTCGCCGTAAAGCTAGTGCATATATTAACGCTGCGCACCCTCGCAGTTATAGAAGGCTCCGTCTTGTGCTCCGCCGCGCCATTGCCATTTGGCTCGGCCTTCTCCTCCGCCTTGACGGGCTTTTCGTCGACCACGACGTCAAACGAGGCCGGGGCCGGCAGCAGCAGCCATGTCGCGAGGTATCCGAGATAGAGCGCGGGAAGGATTATCTCGCCGAGATGGTGGGGGAGCTATTCCGGACGTCAATATCCGACTGTGAGCGAAAGAGCTGGAGGGGACGGACCACTCGAAGAAAAAGAAAGGAGCATATCCTAAACGCATTGGAGAGGATGGTGTTTGCGTATTCAACGAGAGCCATGGCGGGCGCACTCGTCGTCGTCGTCGTTTGCGGTCAGACGGGCACTCGTTGAGGATTGATGTCATGGCTCTCCGGCGCTTGCCGGATCCTCGTCCACCTCCACCATTGCACGTCCACACGCCTGCTGGTCGAGCATCTTGATGTCATGACCAAACGTTTGTCGAATATACGGCAGGCTTGCTTTGTCCACCAGTTCTTCGACTCGGAACGCTTCAATAGGTCGACGACAAATCGGGACGGCACCTTTACGAACCGGCCCACGCCTGCCCAACGGAGAATCTTGAAGCTTCAAAATCAGCCGCCCAGACCAGAATACTCCGAGCTCACTCATGATTGCATCGCATTGGCTGTCCTGCACCTCCTTGAGGATATACACCATCAGCGCGTGACCCATTCAGAGTCACTGCCGGGTCTTCGTGTCCGCCAGAAAGAACGCTGACCAGTTCGCAGCAAACCACTAGAGCATGCGCCTTGCCGATTCCGCTGAGCGCCGAATGGTCTTCCCTCGTCGGCTGCTCCGCAAGAGCACACACTCAGCGTCATCCCTCTGATCCTGCTACCATGCTTTCGGTAGTCGATATAAGCAGCGGACAACCTCCTTGAAGCCTCTCGCCCCTCCAGGGGATATCCTCACGATGCACCAGCTCTCGGTCTCCATCGCTTTGATCCTCTGCTTAGCGGCGCAGCGTGTTCATTCCCAGCATGTCTTCGCTCATTTCATGGTGCGTTCGTTCTACTATACGATGGTCCTCCCGATCACTAAATCCGTTGCATGCCCAGGCGCAAAACTCGTATCCCTATTCTCCGTCAGACTGGCAAAGTGACATTTCTACCGCCGCGGGGATCGGTATCGACGGCTTCGGTACGACTCTCGCCCCACCTTGACCGTCTCGCGTCAGAGCACTGACCAGTTTATCCAGCACTGAACATCGCCCAGAACGACTACGAGGTCGCGAAGATCGCGGATGCATACACGGTGGCGGAGGCGATGGACCCTCCTTTTCAGCTCTTCTACTCCTTCGACGCCAGTTACAGCTGGTCCGCGAGCGACATAGTCACCATCATCTCCAACCACGCGAGCAGCCCCAGCTCGTTCAAGTACGGAGACGCGCTGCTGGTCTCCACTTATAGCGGCGAGCAATATGGCAACGACTTCTGGACCGGGGTGAGAGCTCGCCCATTGCGCCTTGCAGAAACGCGCGGTTTCCCTGATGGTGCTATTTGCAGATAAAGCAGACCTTGGCGGACGACGGCATCACCGTCACGTTCGCCCCCGCGTTCACCAGCTACAGGGATCCGAGCCTCGCGAGCCAGCTCCTGAGCGACTTCCCGGTCATCGACGGCTTCTTCAACTGGTGGTCCTGGCCCCAAGACGTGCCGGACAACTTGACGACCGCCACCGATGTCGCGTACCAGGCCGCGATCCAGCAGCGCAGCGGGCCGTACATCATGTGTGAGCGTGTGCATCGTACCGTCGTTCTCGTACTTCGCCGACGAGGGTTCGGGCAGCGGTTTCGCCTTGGCAATTCAAGAATCTGGGCACGAGCGATACGGACTGGGTGGAGCAGAGCGACTACCTCTGGTTGTATAGGTGATCCGACCTCTTCATAGTCTTCAGGTGCTCGTGCTAAACTCCGTCTTCTAGATGGCAGCAAGCTATCGATCTCAAGCCAGACATCGTTGAGATAGGTAAAAACATACTTTTCTGACGAATAGACACACTTCTGACTGAACGCTTGCGACAGTGACTTGGAACGACTATGCCGAGTCACGCACGTAGTCGCCCGCGTTCTCCGCGTTGACCCCAGGAGAGTTGATTCGCTGTTTCGTCAGACTACATCGGTGAGATCAACCCGAACGTCGATCTCGGCGACGACGCACCCAACTACGTCGACGGGTTCCCGCACTCCGCCTGGAGAAACGTCGCGCAGTACTTCATCTCGTGGTACAAGACGGGCTCCGCCCCCGCCGTCTCAGTGCGTTCCCTCTGCGTCTTCTGCCTTTCTTATCGCTGACCCCGTCTCTGCTTTTTCCAGGATGACCAGATAGTATTCTGGTATAGGGCTCATCCGAAGGTCTGACGCCGCCCCCGTCCTGACAACACATAACCATGCTCACGCCTACGTGCCGATTTCCAGGTCGCCGCCTGCCCGGGCCTCCTCCCGCGCAACGCCGACTACCCCGCCGACGCCGTCTTCGCGCTCGCGCTCCTGAAGACGCCGTCCACGATCACGCTCGACATCGGCTCGAACCACTACCAGTGGGACGCCCAACCGGGCGCGAGCATGGGCGCCGTCCCGTTCCCGACCGAGGACGCCCAGATCCCGTACTTCCAGATCATCCAGGGCGGGACCAAGGTCAAGGACGGGTACGGGTCCGTGTACGTCACGCAGACGGATTGCAACGTGCGTATTTTTTTCTTTGTCTCCTCTTTCGATTTATTTCCTTCTTCCCTGGGAACGCGACGAACCTGGGGGAGTTGGCATCGGACGTTTCGTTTGTTTGTGGCGCCAACGTCTCTCGGCTCCGTCGCTGATCGCTGGCATGATTGATTGTTGCAGTACTACAATTTCAACCCGTTCGTCGGCCTCATCGCATAGACAGGCGTGGGCCGGGTTCATGCGGGACGGCGATTCCGATACTTACATCAACGTGCGGCCTTCGGATCTGTTATCGCTGTTTCTGTCACGCTGTAGTCAAGAATGGAAATAAATGTTCGGTCTCCCGCCGTCCAAGCCAACACTCCGTGTGTCTCGGCTATCTCGCTACCCGGTACCGGGTCCCTGCTACAATGTAACGGACAGCCGTTATCTGGAAACGTTATCTGCCTTGGGTCAGCAATGTCAGAAAGTTAATCAACCCGACGATGCAGGTTTATGATCGCCGGAGATACAAGGCACGAACACCACAGGGGCACGCTCCCGGCGGCGAAGCCCTCGATAACCCTCGATGTAATGTCTCAGATGGGGAGCTCAAAGGTTAAGCGGTCGCTGATGCACCCGGCTCTTCCATATTTCGCTATGAGACACAATAGCCCCGTGTGCGCAGCATTCCGAGTTGAAGTCCACCTGCTCAATTGACTTTCGATCAGCAATGAGCAAGAGTAGATCCGATGCGCAAAGGCCGTCGTCTAGCCATCGTGGAGACTGAGACAAAGCTTACGGTGCTCGGTGCACACGGGGCCCTTCGAACCGCGTGGTTCTCGACAGGGGCAAGATTACCTGGGCGAAATCTCATCTCATCTAGATCGGAAAAACAGTGGAGTACGCGAGGGGTCGCTTTCCATGAAGAAGTTGTCCATTATTCAGCCACTATTTGTGCCGATTGCATGTGGTGTCTAAGAGCAAGCTCGTGGCCGTGGGCGTTAATCGGACCATCAGAGCGTCATGTTTCTAGAAACCTCTCCTGCTAGCAGCTTCAGGACGACGGCGCGCGCATTCTCGTACACCTCGTCGACGGAGGGCGAGCTGTCGATCTGCAAATGATGTGGGACGGTAAGCGAACGGAATAGAGATCTCGAGCGCAGACTGACCTCGGCGACTATGCCCAGCTTGTTGTAGTGTTCGATGACAGGCATCGTCGTGTTCTTGTACGTCTCTGCGGATCCCAGTAAGCAATGATCACCGAAGTCTGGGGGGCGAGATTTGATTGCGAGCGCTTACGGAAACGCTTCTTGATGCTTTCCTCATTATCATCCTCCCGTCCGCTGGTCTCCCCTCTCTTCAGTAATCGCTTCAACATCACCTCCTCCGTCGTCGTGAAGAACAGGACCAGGCTCGCGGGGCACACGTCTTCGTCAAAGGCGAGCGCTTGGTCCATCTTCCGCGGGAAGCCGTCGATCAAGAACCGGCCCTTCCCGTCAACCCAGGCGTCGCCAGTGCCAGGCTGGTCCGTCCTCTCCTGGAGCGCGGCGTGCATCGCGTTCTCGAGGAGCTTGATGGTGACCTCCATCGGGACGACTTTGCCCTCTCTGATGCACGTCTGGATCAGTTCCTTGTACTCGGAGCCCTCGCGATTCTGTTCGGCGCGGAGGAGGTCACCGGCTATGATGTGAAAGCATGAGGATTGCATAACATGCTAGTTGAGGGGTATTTACCAGAAAGATGGCAAAAATGGAACTCCTCGACAAGTTTGGCGCATTGCGTGCCTTTGCCTAACTAGACGTATCAGCATCTAGGAGTAAATGTGTAGCATACACACGAGAAGCACCTGCTCCGGGACCACCGAGGACGTACAGTACGGTGATCTTCTTGCTGTCAAAGACAGTCTGCTTCGTAGACGCGGTAGGCGGAGCGCCCTCAGACGCTGGCGACTGGCCCTCCTCCTTGCGCAGGTGGAGTGCCTCCGCGATCTTGTCGATGATGGCCGGCATGTGGTCGGAATGTATTCAAGCGTCCTCCTTCCTTCGGGGCGGGATGAGCGGGTTGTCGGCCTGCCTAGGTAACGCGGACGCGGGCGTCGTCTGTTCGCGATGTTTGGCGAGCGCAAAGAAGGAGGCGGCGCTGGCGGCGATGAGGCCGATGAGCACGAACGGGTTCGGGCCCTTGCTGGGCTGTGGCATACAGAAGGGGGAGCGGTCACGTCGCGTCTGCCAGCCACCATGGACCTCCGCTTCCGGCATCCCACCACCGTGCACCGCGTCCGCGCTTGCCTCGCCGACGACGCACACGATCTCGTCGCCGTTGCCGGCGAGCATTCCGTCGACGTCATCCAAGTCGTGAGTCGCGTCGCGTCTGCACGTCAACTGCAACAATGATCTTTCTTGCAGGCCGATACAGGCTTTACCCAGATCGCGTCGTTTCACATCGGGACCAGCGTAACCGCTTTAGCATGGTCCCCACGGACAGTATCTCCTTCGAGAAGCGACCGTTGGCTCTTGGAGTGCGTTCAGATCATGATATACTCGCGAAACCATCCGCTGATACTCGCCACTTTCAGGATAGCAGTAGCAAGCGCCGATTTTGGGCTTCATCTCCTCACCAAGTCTCCTGAAGACGACGAACACGTCTTTCCCTTTGGCGGCGGCCTCAGCGGACACCATGGCAAAGTTACGGACATGGCGTTCTGCGGTGGCACAGGCGAGGACGCCTGGCGCTACGTCGCCACAGTCTCCGGTGCGTTCTCCGACCCGGTCGTGATCATCACTCCCTCCGCTCACGCCTCCTCGCCAGACGACAGAATGATGATGGTCTGGGACCTCTACCCGAACGTCGACATCGGCTCCACCTCGGGCGGCTCGCAGGACGACGGCTGGTCGCCGCCCCCGCGCCGACAGCCCACCGCGCTCGTGATCAACTTCGCTCACCCGCTGACGTCCATCAGCGCGCACCCGTCGTCGAACAAGGAGTTCCTCGTCGCCGACTGCCGCGGCTCGATTTTCGTCACCGACTGGCGGCGGGATCCCTACGCGGAGGACGGCCCGGAGCCGTGGCGCGGAGCCAGCGTCGTCGAACTCGTCGAGCCCCGCGCTCTCGCAAATACCGCGCAGCCCTCCCCGGACGGGTCCGTCGCGTGGCACCGGAGCAGCGCCGAGTTGTAAGCTCCGTTCCGTACCTCAGCGCCAGGTTCCGCCGCTCATCTAAAAAAAATGAAAAAAATTACAGCGTCGGCGCCGCGTTCGGCCCCACCTTCGCCATCTACGACCTGTCTGCGCTGAACGGCGGCAAGCCGACCGCGTCGGGGACCGCCTTCCCAGAGGGCGCAGGTCAGTTCCGGTGGTGCCCCACCTTCCCGGACTACTTTGCCATCTCCTCCTCGCCGGCCTCTGCCAAGGGGGCCACCATCCACCTGTACAACACGCAGTACGTGCACACGCCGCCCAGCGCCCTGTCCGTCGCGCCCCGCCCGCACAAGATTCGCGACTTTGACTTCCTCGCATTGCCGGGCATACCGCGGATCGCTGCAGCGGTGGGCAGGGAGGTGATCATATTTCCCATAGGAATGGAGTGATCAGTGCCCCTATCTTCTCGTCGAGGGCGATGCATGGAGCTCGCCAAAAATGCGTTATGTACTGCTGAATGAACCAATCTTCTCGGTCGTCGTTTTGGCGGGCAATAAGCATGATTTCTATCATTGCAATAGTGTAGCGACGCGAATGTTGTACACGTTGGAGATGGATAACGAGGGAAAAAAATACGAGACGATTCGAGCGAGACGAGACGGGGGGAAAAAATGGTACGAAGTGCGACTTGCGACGATAAGAGGGGACGATCGATGTGCATGAATAGGAAACACGCCTGCTGCCCCGCATATTAATACGTGGATGGCTAATGTTCACAGAGGAGACTATAATGAGCGCGCAAGGGCGAGCAGGCGGAACGACGACGACAAAGAAAAATAGACGGTTAACAGGGGGGAGGCGCGGCGACGTTAGGTGGCATGTAGCGATAGATTTTTCGACGCTTTCGATTATACGCGGAGTTCCGTGTCATCACATCGCGTGGCCCATGTGCGCTGGCGGAACGTGCTGGTGATGATGCTGGTGCATCTGGTAATGCGCCGCCGCCGAGCTATGATGCTGCTGCATAGGTGGCGGCGGTGGCGGCGGCGGCGGCGCGTACGATGCCATGCGAGGATCGCCATAATGCGGCGGCATGCCGCGGACGCCCTCGGCCGTCGCCATCGCCGTCGCGGGCCCGGAGCTCTCGACGCCCTCGCCAAAGCCGAGCTCGCGGAACATGTTCCGCCAGTAGTGCGCGTCGAGCTCCGAGTGGTGCGGCGGCGCTTGGGCGCCGTTCGCGTAGTGCGCGTACATCGCGTACGCCGACGGATGCGCCTTCACGTCCTCCATCGGTCCGTACGACGACGACGACGACGACGAGGCGTCGTGCAGACCGCCAGGACCCGCCCCGCCCGGCGCGGACGGGTGCGCAGGCAGGTGCGGCGAGGCCGGGAAGTGGAAGTTGTGCTCGTGCGCCTGGGACACCATCGTCTGGGGATACATCTGCGGCGGGCTGTGCAACACGGGACCCGGACCGGAGGTGCCCGGAGCGGAGGCTACAAAAGACAATAAGACGAAAAAAGAGTTCAGGGTCGGCCGCCATTGCATCTGAGTGCGGGGGCGAGAAGAAGCGCACCATGCATCCTGGTATCGATCGGCGGGAGGGCGCTCACGGGGCGTTCCTTCTCGGTCTGCCGCGCCTTGAAGATATCGTTCGCGATAAGGCTACGAAGGAAGCGCGCGTGCGCGGCGGCGGAGGTAGACGCAGGCGAAAGCTGGGACGCCTCCGAGTACGCGTCCGCGGTCTTGGCGATGTTCGAGTAAATTTCGTTCGTCGCGCCCTCATGAAGCTCGGCGAGCGTGTTGGAGCTCCGCATCAACTGAATTGAAGAAAAAAAAAAGCATCAGAACGCGCGATCAGCGGAGGCCGAGTGGGTCGGAGGGCGAGAAGAAGGTGTTACCTACCTTGAGCAAGAAGACGGCCGAGTACGCTGTCATGACCGTGATGGATTCCTGTCCATAACGCTGAAAAGGACGTGTGAGGCAAGAATGATGGAAGGATGTGGCGTGACACCTACGAGAATCTGCATGGATGCGAACTCCTTGACGACGATTTGCAAGCTCTCGATCGCGCTGGTAAAGCATGCGGAGAGCGCTTGCAAGCTGGGCACCGCGCGGCTCGTCTGTAATCCAGCATAAGCTACCTTTAGTCAATACAGTAAAGTGAGATAAATTACTCACGGGACTCATGCTCGCCTGAATACCAAAGCTGTTGAGGAACAGCCGGACGTGCAACCTGAAAAAGCTCAGGATCGAAAAATGGAACGATTCACCGCCGGCGCGGCGCATCTCATGCTGCCAGGTGTCCATCCACTGCGTGAGCTTGCCGTTGCAGTTCCTGAGCAAGACCTCGTAATTCACGTCCGAGTGGGACGTGTTGCCGGAGCCACCCTTGTGGAGGTAGAACACGTCCGTCGTCTCGCCCGCGATGCGGCGAAGCTGGACGAAGGCGGCGACGATGACGTCCTCCGGGCGGATCGGCGAGCCGCCTTCTTCGTGCCAGGTCGCCGAGTGGCGGACGAGGTCGTCCTCGGGGAGCATCCACTGGCGGCCGGTCTGCATGCTCAGGCTGCGGTCGTGGACGAAGAGGACGAGGTAGGTGCGCTCGCGGTTGCGGCGCTCTCGCAGCGCAAACTCGGTTTCGCCGTGCAGGTGGCGGGCGGGCACGTAGCGGTTGAGGCCGAGCTCGACCGCCATGCGGCAGGCGTAGCCGATGTAGGTCCACGTCCGGGTGTCGTCCGGCTCCTTCCAGTACGTGAGGCAGGCGAAGGCCTGGACGACCTCGACGCTCTTCCAGCCCTCGGCGAACGCGCGGACGGCCATCTCCTGCGCGAGCTTCTGGACCTGGCGGTAGAGCTCGGGCTTGAAAAACTTGCAGCCGGCCATGAGGAGGACGGTGAAGAGGAACGGCGAGCGGGAGCGGACGTAGGTGACCGAGTGCAGGGCTGGGTCGAAGAGGCAGATGAACGGGTTGAAGCGGAGAAAGATGAGGTCGAAGAGCGTCGTCGCGTCGTGCAGGGTCAGGAGGCCGGCGTCGATGGGGTCGGCGGGGCTGTTAGACGCCGAGGACATGGCGCGCGGGGCGGGGTAGCCGCCCGGCGACTGCTCGCCCTGGGCGTGGGCGGACGCGATCGATTGAGGTTGGGAGGGCGGCTGCGAGTCCGGGTTGAGGATGGTGCTGAAGAACGAGTGCCGCTGGTTTTCCTTCCGGATGAGGCGGTCGGGGAACATGCCGCGCTCGGCGGCCTCCGCCTCGTCGTCTTCCTCCTCGCGGGCGGGCGCGTAGCCGTCGCTGGAGACGATGCCCAGCGGTGGGAGCTCGTTGGACGGGAAGAGGGTCGAGCTGGATGAGCCGTATGGGTCCGAGGGGCGGAGGGCGCGGTAGGACGGGTCGCTCAGCGTCGGCGAACCGGCGCGCGCGTACTGGGACGACTCGGCGATGGACTGCTTGGCCTTGGCGGTGTTGAGGCCTTTTTCGAGGCGTCGCAGCATCTTGGAGGCCTCGGAGAGTCTGTGTACGCGACGTGAGCGCTTAGGTATAATATTGCCTGGTATGGGGGGGCATATACGTACTTGGAGCCCGGCTTGCGTCCCCGGCGGTGTTTTTCGAACACGCAGCTGGAAGCGACGTGAACAAAGAAGGGGGAGGGCGTTGGGCGGAAAAAGACCTACTCGACGCCGGCACGCTTGCAGCGCTGGCATTTACCCTCTCCGTCTTCGGCGCCGACGCATTTCATCTGTCACGCGGAGCAAGAAAGGCGGTGGGTTATCGCGGGCGCCTAGGGCGGTATGAAAGGGCCACGCACCTTGGCTGCGCGACATACTGTGCAGGCTCTCGCGCCGCGAACGACGGGGGGCTTGGACCTGTGCGGACGAAACACGGAGGGCATGAGCAAAAAAGCAGAGGGCGGTGTGAGACAGGGACGACGGACGACTTGGGCTGGTCGTCGGCGAGGTCATCGACGACAGAGGGTTTGTCCTCGGCGACGGGGCTCTGGGACGGGTACGAGTGCTGCTGGTGCTGGCTGAAGGACGAGGAGTCCATGTGGCGGCGTGGGGAGGGGACAGGGGGAGGGCAAGGGGGGCTTCAGCTGGGAGGGCGGCAACCAAATAGGTCGGGGGGGATTGACCGGAGGGGCGGATGATGACCGCAGAGTGCAAGCTCAATTAGCCGGCGCGCGCGGCCGGCCTCTATCACGCACATTCCCGCCCCCTTCGGACGTCGGAGCGCAGAACCAGGGCCGGCACAAGGATGGACGCCGTGCCCCTAGCCTGGGGTCTGCGCATTGCTGGCTTACGTCTCCAACTACATCCAGCGATGGCCGGGCGGTCATGCGCCCGGCAGAGGAGGCGCTGGGGCTGCACGCCAAGCTCGATCCGTCCTCGCCACGCCCACGACCAGCGACGAACGCCCCAGCCGCTGCCTCGACGACGGCTTCGGTGCGATAACAGCGCGTCGCCCGGCTCGCACACCGGTCACGTCACGCCCCCACATGCACGCCTGCCTGCGCCCAGGCACGCCCGACTCATCTCCACCGTCCCGGCGACCGCGTCATCCAAGGTTCGGCCAGCAAAACGTTGTGCGATGGCCTGCTGCACATGGACCACGGAAATCGCGTTCGCTTGCGCGCGCCTCCCCGGGCTGCCGCGGCCCTGGGACAGCACGCTGCGTTTGGCGCTGGAAACCAACCAGATCAATCTGCGCTCCAAGATCTGTGACCACCGTAGGCGTATGAATTGCCTCTGTTCGCGGTCTGCTTCCGGTGGGAGCACAGAAGCAGCGATCCCCAGCCGAGCACCATCATTTCTCTCGCACCAACAACGACTGCATTCCGACCTCACGTCCGCATCGCCCAGACCGTTCATCCGTCATCGAACCCCGGCGAGTTGCCCGATTACAACCATGCCCATTCTGATCCCCAGCTCGTCGATTAGACCAGCAGCCGTAAACGCCGGAGGGTTCACCCTCGCTATCCTTTACCGCAACCCAAACACGTCCGGCAACGATAACACACCCAACGACCACGTCGGTCACCAAAAGCCCGATATAGCTGCTCGTTACCGAAGAACGTCATGTTACATACAGCCTCGTTGCTCCGGATCCCGGGCGCGCTTTGCTAATGCGCCCCATTATTACTTGCCGCATCATGCTTCTAGTCCCGGCCCAAAGCACACCCCACCCACCAGATTCTCGTCTCGTTCCCGACGGACGCCACGACGCCACCGTACACGATCATGTATACGCGCCTTCTCTCGCCAAACGGGGCAACCCTCCAAAGTGTCCAGTTCGCGGTCCTCCACCCACATGTTTTTGTCAACGACGCGCATATACGAGGGAACTGCCACCGCGCAGGAGCGTCTAGCACCGATCGCTCTCACCCCTCTCCAAAGCAGTCCGTGAACCCGCGCCGCGAGGATCCCCGATTCCCATCCCACACACATAACTGTACCCTGACGCGCACGCAAACCAACCCACCGTCACGCCGACGAGACCCGAACCAAGAAGGAAGGTCGAGGGTGCTTTGCCAGGGGCTTCAACCTTCCGTTTCGGGCGACGCCCACGCTTTGATGCTTCCGCTCAGACCGCATCCTTCAACCCTGCGCTCGATCTGTCCATCAAGATCCTTCTCTCGCCTCACCCGGCTCTCTCTGGCAACGGGCAACATACGGCATCCTTGTGGTGTGTTGACACGGTGCGAGATAGAGAGGCGCCCCCTTTTGATCGCCAGGTCTCTCCGCCGCGGGGCAACACCTCGGCGTACATCCACCCGTCGAAATATTCTGCGTTCGGGACTATCTATCCGCACGCGCGAAACACGGGCGCGATACACCGGCATCTCCCGCTCCGCGCATCGTGCCGAGCGCTGAAACAAAAGGAGGAAGAGAGAAACGAGAGAGAGAGAGAGAAAAGATTAAAAGCAATTCCCGGTGTCTCCTTGACGATCCCGCTCAGAACTCTCTCCCCGCACGAGTAACAAACTAGGACCCCCGTTAATACAGTTAAAGGTCGGAATATTCGCTGACCCAAAATGAGTCGTATTGTCGGCAATTTTCTGCTTCCATCGGCACGTTTTTGTCGGCAAATATTCCGACATCGGGCCTGCGGCGCCCATTTCGTCCGCGCTCTATTCCGGCATCGTGGGAATTAATGGCTATATCTGGGCTGTTCCTCTCCGGGCCTCGATGGTTCGATCCTTTTGTCGACAAATATTCCGACCTTGGTTTGTCGCTCCGAACGGATGTCGTCAAAATTATTCCGGCCTGCGGCGCCCTCAGACGTGCTTTTGTCGGCAATTATTCCGACGTACGGCCCTTTTCAGGGCCCAAAATGTCGTCGGAATATTCTAACATTAAACCGTATTAACGGGGGTCCTAACAAACTCTGCGTACTTATTTTCCGTTGCCTTATCCGCGCGCGAATCCGCTCCGAGTCCCCGAATTCTTCCCGGCCGATCAGCGCAGGATGATGGCACGCCAGTACAGAACATCCGCACGCAATAAACAATGGACAAAGACCCGCCCCCACAGCCGTACTCCTCCTTGTGCGTTCGTCGCGGCGACACCGCTCGAGCAGTCGGCGCAATACGCCGTAACGGCATGCGCACCCTTCGATCCTGCGTCTCTCGTCACGCTTACCGGTGGTGTACGCTCACCATCGCGATTCCCAAGGTCTCTCTCTCTGTCCCGCATCACGGTGGCGTCCAATCTTACGATCCCCACTCGGCCAAGAGAGAGGAAGGATCACAGCCCGAACCTTCCCATCCGGATAACCCAGCATCTGGTATCCTGCCTACTCTGCCCGTCCCGCGGCACCGGCCGACTCATCCACCGCGCTCGCTCGATAAGCACAAGCGCAATCGGTCGTATCTCGTATCTCCACATATCCATCTTGGTTATATGCAGTACCCGGTCCCGCCAGGTGGCTGGCTGCCAGTGCTGCCTCCATCTAACTCTAGCGGCGTTGGAACGGGGGGCGTGGCCGTCGTCGCTCTTTCGGCTTAACGCCTGCCGCAATCCCCGCATGGTGCTCGCACATACACGCTCGCACATACGACCGCACGTGGCAATGCGAGTATACATATATACACGCATGTATATATAGCGCGGCAGCGAGATTGAACCGATTCGGGCCGCTAGACTTCCTCTATTTTTTCCGTTTTGTGTTTGCGCCGGAACCCCCCCCCCCCCCCCCCCCACC